GTGTTTTTTGTGTATGTGTGAGGAAGATCAGCCCTGAGCTAACATCTGCCAATCCTCCTCTTTTTTTTTCTGAGGAAGACTGGCCCTGGGCTAACATCCGTGCCCATCTTCCTCCACTCTATATGCGACGCCGCCACAGCATGGCTTGCCAAGTGGTGCGTTGGTGCGCGCCCGGGATCCGAACTGGTGAACTCTGGTCCGCCACAGCGGAACTCTGGCGCCACATACCCACTTGCGCCACCGGGCCGGCCCCTCATTATTTGTATTTTTTCTTGGAGGTTCTTGAGTTATCAGATCCATGGGTTTATAGTTTTTCATCAAATTTGGGAAATCTTTCGCATTATTTCTTTGAAGATTTTTCTTTCTCTGGGCCTCCAGCTGCACGTATGTGGGCGATTGATCAGCACCAGGAACGCTCCGCTCACGTGGTCAAACAGTCCTTTTCTTGTAGCTCACTAGCTTCTCCTGTCACGTCTTCAGGTTTGCTCATCTTCTCTCCCTTGGTACCTCTCTGCTGCTGCTGCCATCAGCGTGTTTTCATTTCAGAGACTGGGTTTTATCTCTAAACAGCATCCTGCTTCTTCACACGCCTGGTCTTTTTCAACTGGACGTTACGCTCTTGGGTGCTGGATTTTTCTGTATTCTTTAAGTAATGTCAGATGTTGTTTGGCAAAGTCACTTTTTTGTTTTGAGACTTGCAGGGGGCAGGCCAGCCTTCGATGTAGGGCGAGTTTAGCCCCACACATGTGGCAAGTCCCTTCTGAGCCTCTGTCTGTCCTCAGCATCACGAGGTCTTTCCCATCTGGCTGGTGGGAACCAGAGCCCAGATCGACACCGACACTCACTTGCCTCCAGTGTTCTGGCATCTTCTGGCTGTGTTGTTCCTTCCTCTGCGTGTGTGGAGGTGACCAGGCTGGAGCCCCACTGCCAGGAGCCCTCGTCTCTCTGCTATTTGCTCTGCAAATTCTACCTGTCTTCCCCCGCACCCCCTCTCTGCTCCTGTCTCAGCTCAGCGACACGGATGACTCTGGATGCTGTCCCCGTCGCTCATGGGGCAGCTGTCGGTCCCGCATCGCCTGCGGTCCAGTGTCTGAAAACTGCTGTTTCGCACGTTTTGTCCAATTTTCCCACTGTTGAAGGTGAGAGGGTCGGTCGTCCCTCTTACCCTGTCGCTCCCTCACGGCCGGAACAGAAGTTGCCCGCCTCTCGTCTCAGGCCCTTCCTCATACTAAATAACGACGCCTTCTCATGAAAACTTGATGCCAAGCAGAATTGAAGTCTGCTTCGTGTGTGTGCATCTGTAATTTGAATGTTTGGCCATTATTTCTTTGAATATTTTTTTCTGAGAAGTTTCCCTGAGAAAAGAAAGCGGTTCATTTTTGCATGGAAAATGTGAGAACTTAATTCTTTCTGAAGATTGGGTTTACATTTGCTACAACCAAATCAGTTGGAGATGAATCCACGTATCTACACATTTATGTGCTTTTATTAGTTTCTGCAAATGACCCAAGACCCCAAGGAGGCCCAGACGCCGAGCTGCCATCCCCCGTCCAGGTGATTCCCAGATCCCTGTCCCCAGGAGGGAGCTCCGGACCCGAGCCGTCCTCCTGGCCCGCCTCCCACCCACACAGCCCGCCACCGCTCTGCTGTCCCCACCCTTGGGTCATTAGCCCAGAAACCGGCTGTCCCTCTCGCCCTCCCTAATGTTGTCTGGGTGGCCTGGTCCCCTCCACTCCACCGCGTTCTGGTCCAGGTCCTGGTCTCCTCTCCCTGCTTCCCTCCTAGCACCGTGCAATGCCCCCTCCAGACCGTCCCCGTCCCCGAGTGCTCTCTCCACGGCTGCCCCTAAGACCTCAGCCACCCCAAGACCTTCCTTGCTCGGATCCAACCAGAAGAAGAGAAGAAGCCCACGCTCCCTAGGGAAAGGCCCGGAATGTCAAGCCCCTGGCCCCTCGCATCTCTACCCTTCCGTCCCAAGCTCCACCTGCAAATCAGAAGCCCTGCCTGCCCTCCCAGCCCTGCCATCCCTCTGCCTGCCGGGGACCTCACCTGCCCCACCAGCCCCACAGGTGGTCATTCACCTCAACCTGCCGCAGCCTCCGGGAACTGGGAACATCTGTTCAAGTGAGTTTCCACAGCTGGAGCCGGGCCGGGCCAGGCGCACAGTAGGTCTTCAGGAAGACTCGCTGGCCGAGGGGCTGTGTGAGGGTGCTGCTCACCAGCCCACCTCCTCCTCACCTTCCACCTGTGCCCGGGGGGCTGCCACGGCTGGAGAGGTGACTGAACAGGGAGTAGAGAGGGAGCCTCCTGAAGGTCTCCACAGGGCAGAGGGAGAGCCCAGTCTGCCCGCACTAGTGAGGGGAACAGAGCTGCTGTGTGGGGAACAGAGCCATTGTGGGGAACAGAGCCGGCGTGGGGAACAGAGCCGGCGTGGGGAACAGAGCAAGTGTGCGGAACAGAGCTGGCATGGGGAACAGAGCCAGTGTGGGGAACAGAGCCGGCGTGGTGAACGGATCCGGCGTGTGGAACAGAGCTGGTGTGGGGAACAGAGCTGGCAAGGGGAACAGAGCTAGTGTGGGGAACAGAGCTGGTGTGCGGAACAGAGCTGGTGTGCGGAACAGAGCTGGCGTGCAGAACAGAGCTGGTGTGGGGAACAGAGCTGGCGTGGGGAACAGAGCCAGTGTGGGGAACAGAGCTGGCGTTGGGGAACAGCTGAGACACAAGTGACTCCTCTGCTGCTGGTGGAGGGACCCAGCGTGCAGGCTCTGGTGGTGGCCAGCCTTGTGGACTGCTCGCACACTGGACACTTGCTCCCTCTGGACATGTCCATCTTGCCTCTGGGTCCTCCCTGTAGCCGGAGCTGGGGCCATGACTGCCGGGTGTGAAGACACAGGGCTGTGGGCACTCGGTGGTGTGAAGTGCCCACCGATGGGTGAGGTCAGAGACCCCTCGGAGGCCATGCAAAGGGGGAAAAATTGTGAATAGCCAGGTCTCCACACAGGGCTGTGCCCTCCTGCTGCCGCGTGTATGCAGCATGGCCTACTTTTAAAGAGTGCTCTGGATGTGCCTCCTTGAAGGGCTTCAATAAAACACCTTTTCTCTTTGAGGAGTAAGCATCTGGACTTTTCCCCGCTTTGCTTTCTCACCTAGGCTGCCACCTGGTGGCAGTGCATGGCACTGCAGGGTCCCCTGCTCTTAGGGGGTCAAATCAGATTTTCCAGCCCAGGAAGGGAGACCCCTCGGGCCAAGCATTCCCCCCACCCCCTAAACCCCACTGGTGTAGAAAGGAGGACAAGGTGACAGATGCCGGATGTTGCCACGTGATAAAAGAATGATTTATTAGAACAAGTTCCATGACAAATCATATAAAATAACCATTTTCTGAGACCTCCATAAGACCACCGGAGGACAAACACACAGAGGTGCCTCCGAGAAGCCAGACAATAAGTTACCGATCCCACGTCGAAGACTGGAGGGAGGAACACGAACTTGTGGATAAAAAAAACCGTACAGCAATCGCCGAGGGGTGTGGGTGGAGGTCGGGGACGACAGGACGGGCCAGAGCTGTTCCAGGGGTGGGGGGGCAGTGCTGTGGGCAAGTGAGCGGCATGCAGGGCGGACCAGGACTAGCACCTCCTCCATGTAGACACAGCAGGCTCTCGGGGCGGGGCCGGGCGGGGCCCCCGCCACACACACACACGTAAACGCCAGGTGGGGACACAGGACCCGAGCACTTGGCTCCAAGTCAGCTCAATGTAAACACGGAGACATGGCACCCACTGCAGCCCGGGCTCGCACGCCAGCCTCGGGGTCCTCCAGCAGGCGCCGCCAGCCGTCGACACTCGCACAGATGCCAGGGGGGTGCAGAGCCCACCCCCACCGGCCACAGCCACCGGGCTCTTTGGCTTAGCTCCAGAAACATCAGCCCCCAGGCGGGGCCACGCTCAGCTCACCTGGCACCTTCCCAGCTGAAAGAATCCTGAGAAAACAAGACTGTTCCCGGGGCCTATCCCTGCCCCCCACGGGACCAGGAGCGAAGGGGCCTATGCGGCCCGAGCCGGTTGCAGATGCCCAATTAATACCCACAGCATCCGGGAGGCCAGGGCTGAGGTCACAGCGGAGGGTGCATTGTCTAGCGAGCTTCCGGAAGCCTGGTTTCCGGCCACTTTGGTCTAGCGCTCACCTCTGCCAGCCTAGAACCACCAAGGCCAAGTGCAGAGGCCCAGCCCCCCTCGCTGGGACACACCCCACAGCGTGGACATGTGCCGGGCTGGCGGTGAGCATGGGCGTGTCTGGCATGCGGTACACCTGTGCGTGGCCGGTCCCCCACACTCAGGCCCCCTCACAGCAGCCTGCACGCTCAAGGGGTTTGGCAGTTGTGTTGGCACCAAAGGCTCGAAGCAGTAGGGCTCCTACCCCACCATCTCCACAGGCCACGTGCCTGTCCTGGGCCACCGTACTCTGGGGCAGCTGCAAGCGCCCTGCCCAGCCTGCATCTCAAGTCCTGGGACGTCACGAGCCCCCTGGCTCTGTGTTTGGCACTGAATGACCCCACGGCCCAGCCCCTCTTCCTCCGCCTGGCCCCGGCCAGCACACGGGGACAGGACAGGTAAGCACATGGGGCCTCCCGGAACAGCTGCCCCAGCCCACGAGGCAGGGTGGGGTGGGGGCCCTTCCAGGCCAGGGAGACTGCTGCAACGGCACAAAGTACTCTTTCCTCGAAAGCGAAAGACAAGAACAGCGACGGAGAGGAGGTGGCACACGCCCGCGACACTGGCCCTGGCAGGGGCCGCAGCAGGAGCTGGGCCAGGAGGCCAGCGAGGCGGCCACAGGGGCTGGACAGTCTGGTTGGGGTGCTGGCTGGGAACTGAGGAGGGTGGCGTGGAGGCGCTCGCCCACGGGGTTATGGCACATGTCGAGGTGTTGCAGTGAGCCCTCCGCAGCCAGGAGGGGCCGCCGCAGCAGATGGATGGACGGGGTGAGCGGGAGGCACTGGGCGCGCACAGGGAGGCCGCCCGGCCCGCTGCCTAGATCAGGAACCTCTCGGCGTCTGGGAGGAAGTCGGGGAGGAAGGCGGGGTCTGGGAGGCTGGGGGACCTGCAGTTGGCCCGTGGCGGGAAGCTCCTCAGGGGCAGGGCCGAGGGGGGAGAGGACGGGCTCTGGGCGGCAGGCCGGCCTTTCCCGAGCTGGGCCAAGCCCCCGGAGCCCCTGTTTCCGGTCAGCAGGTCCAGGTTCCCGCTGGGGTCCACGATGGCATTGATGACTGGGGGGGTGGGGAGGGTCAGGCCGGCCGGAGGGTCCTGCCTGGCCTCCCGTGCCCACCCAGGGTGAGTCAGGTCTTCCACTGAGGTCCCCACCGGCCCCCTCTGACTGCCCCGCGCTAGAGCCCCAGTGCAACCCCCGAAGTCTGAGCCACACCCACCTTCCAGCTGCTTCTGCACACGCCTCAGTTCCTTCAGGATGGAGCTGATTTCCTGGAAGGGGGCCAGGAAGGAGGGCAGATGGAGCAGGACCACCAAGGGGTCATCTCTCCCGGGGGCTCTGGGGGCAGCCGTCGGGTCCCAAGCTCGGGCCAGCACCGCCACTCCCTCCCTGTGGCCAGACGGGCTGAGGGGACAAGGCAGGGCCCGTCCTGTCCTAGCATGTCCCGGCCCCCATGTCCCGGCCCACACCTTGTTGGAGGTCTTCAGGATGGGCACCTCGTTCTCAGCGTTGATCCTGGCCTCCAGCTCCTCCCACGCTCGCCCTGTGTTCTGAAAGAGGATCCTGCCCGCCGAGAGGGTGGGGGGTGGGGGCAGCAGGCAGAGGATGGTGACAACGGAACCCGGGCACAGCACCCTCCCAGACCACTCCGCCCGCCGTGGTGAAGCTCACATCACCCCCTCCTGTGCCCCAGGGGAAACAGGCCCGGAGCAGGACCCGGACTGGCGAGTATCAGAGTCCCTGTCTCTCTGCCCAACACGGGAGGGCTGGGGAACAGAGAGGACTCCCCCAGGCTCAGGGTCTGGTTGCCGGGAGCCGTGTACGCCTTGTGTGTGCACACAAGGCGTACACGGCTCAGCTACACGTGAGTGTGTGCTCAGACGTGCACTCATCGGGCAGTGTGCCCTCGGAGGACGTCAGCCCCAGCACAGTCCTGGCTTGCACACATGTTCATATCTGTGTCTGAAGGGAGTCTGGCTGGGCGTCCACGGAGCAGTGGTGGGCTCCAGGCTCCCCCACCCCCCGGGGCTCCCACTGGCCGCAGGGCCTGCGGGCACCCGACTCACTTCATCTTCTCGGCCAGGTGCTCCGTGTTCTCTCGGATGGCATGGGACAGCTGGGACACGGGGTTCAGCATCAGGTTATCAAAGATCACCTGCGAGGAGGCAGGCATCAGCATGGAGACCCTGCTCCCTCGGCCACCCCAGCACCCGGCCAGGCCAGCTCGGGGAGTGGGTGGGGTGCCTGCCTCCTCGCGGTTCCGAGGCCGTGTCTTGTTGGCCATGGGGACCTCACGGCGGTCGTTCATGTTCTGGTCCAAGTCCCGAGAGTTCAGGGAGCCGGGCGGCACCTTCTGGAAGTTGAGGCTGGCCTCGGGGATGCGCTGCACCAGCTGTGGGCAGGAGGGGGGCGGCGTTGGCCCAGCTGGTGGGGGCGTCCACCAGGAGGTGGAGAGAGCTGCACCTCCCCCACTACAACAGCAGGTGGACAGAGCAGACCCCAAGTCCCGTCCCCTCAGGGTCCCTGGACACCCCCACCCCCAATGGAGGCAGGTCCTGGCCCCGTGCTCTCGGGGTGTCTGTTGCGGGAGCTGAGCACACGGAGCCTTGGTGAGGGCTCACGGCCACGACCGCTCTCCGCCAAGGAGTGCAGGGCTGCCTGAGGGTCAGGGAGGCCAGACACGGCCGGGAGTTCGGCAGGGCAGGGGCCGAGCTCACTTCCTCTCGGGCGGAGATGGTGGAGGCGGGGGTACTGGGCACGTTGTTGAGGGAGGGGCTGCGGGCAGACCCCGGTGAGCCCAGCGAGTCGCCATCCCCAGCCACGTCGTGGATCTCCTGGGCCAGGATGGCCACGTCCTTCACCAGCGTCTGGCTCAGCCTGCAGCCAGCAGGAAAGAAGGCAGATCCTGTGAGGTCCTCCTAGGCTGGGCCCCAGCGCAGGGGAGGTTTGGGAGCAGGAGCAGATGGGACTCAACGTTCCCTCTCCCAAGGCAGACACCCCCTCCCAGGTGGGGGCGGGAGTCCCTCCCAGGAGGTAGCTGCTGGGTGCGGGGCAGGGGATGGGGTACGCAGCCTCCAGCCTGGCCCAAACTGCTCCCAACTGGCCACTGGTAACGCCATGACCAACAGGGCCCCATAGAGAGGCTCAAGTCCCCGATGCCCCAAGGGGGTTGGTAGGGGTGGGGCTGGGGGCAGGCCCCAGGCAGAGGGGTGGCGGAGACACCCACAGTCTCCCAGGCAGGCCAATCACCTCCTCCTCCTCTAGCTACCAGGACTGGACATCAGGGCTGCCAGAGAACCTGTGGGCCACATAAGCCCTCCTCTGCAAGCAGGGAAACTGAGGCAGGGGAGAGGTGGGGTCACAGACAAGGGTCAGAAGAGGCCAGAGGGTGAAACAAGCAGACCCAGAGAGGCTGGGGACCTCCCCACAGGGAAGAGAGGCCAAGGGAGGCTGAGCCCCCAGCAGCAGCCTGGCCCCCTCACCCTCAGGCTTCCTTGGCACTTCTACCCCTGCGGTCACCCAAGCGACAGGGGCCTGGGACCCACTGAGGACCAGGTCTCTGCCCTCAGCTGTCCCAGCTCTGCCCAGGTGCCTCCCAGCTGGCCCTCAGGGCCCACCCACTCCCAGCAGCAACTCCAGCCTCTACCTGGCATAGCCACCCGAGCTCTGCCCCCCATCAGAGCTGCCCTCAGCCCCTCAAGATGGGGGCTCCCCAACCGGGTCCCACCCTTCCTACATCAAAAGAACACAGAGGATGTCCCTCAAACTCTTGGTGATGCCATAATGACATGTGCCCCTGCCTCAGTGCCCGCCCTCCACCTGCCCAGGCCCTTTGGTCCTCCCTCTCTGGTCCTGGCCCTTTGCTCCCTCTGCCTCTTGTGCCCAGCAGGTTGGTAGGCTCAAGCTTGCCCACTCCGGAAGCAGGGACCTCAGGAAGTCTATGGGGCCCTCCACCCCCTTCGCCTCTCTCACCCAGTGCAGTGGCTCCTTCCAGAACCCCATACCCTGCCTTCTCAGCCAGCCCCTCACCCCCTCCTCACCACCGCTCTCACAGGTGACTTCCCTCCAATCACCCCTCGGGCATCCCGAGCTCGGTCCCTGGCCCTCTTCCCTTCACGCTCTCCACATCCTCTCTGCACAACCCTGGGCCTGGTGACCCACGGCCTCAGTCACCATCTTTGTGCTAATGATGCCCATGTCTCCATCTCCCACAGGCCACTCTCCTAGGAGCCACCTGCCTCTGGTCACCTCTTTCCAGGTGCCTCACGGACTCAAGCTCAGCATCCTCAATACCAAACACTCGCCATCCACCCAGCCCCAGGACTCCTCCTGCCCACCTCTCTGCACCATCCTCCCCGACACCTGGCCTGGAAATGACTCTTCCTCCACTGACTGACCACATGAGAGAGTTCATCCTTAATAAAAATCTTGGTAGAGGCCTTCCTCATACCAGAGGTCCTCCACCCTCTTGGACAGATCTGCATTCATTCATTCATCCACCTTTCCATCCATCCGTCCATCCATCGTCTGCCTGCCCATCCATCCATCCAACCATCCATCTACCCATCCATTCATCCACCCATCGTCTGTCCATTCACCCACTCATCCATCTGTCCATCTGTCCGTCCATGCACCCAACATTCCATCCTCCCAGCCACCCATCCATCCAATCATCCATCCATCATCCACCCAACCACCCATCTATCCATCATCCACCCTCCATCCACCCAACCATCCATCCACCCATCATCCACCCATCCATCCATCCATCCATCCATCATCCATCTATCCATCCAACCATCCATCCATCTGACAAACATTTGCCAAGCCCATTCAAGAAGAGAGCCCCAGTCTAGTCCCTGCCCTCAGGGTACTCTTGGACCCAAGGGGAGGTACCCAGCGGATCAATGGCTTGTGCTGTGAACAGGTGCCACTCACCTGGCAATCTCAGCAATCTCGGCTGTCTGCACAATGAAACCATAGGGATCAGGCTCTTCTTCCTCATCGTCTGTGTCCCGGAGGCCAGGGGCCCGGGGCCGGGCCCGGCCAGAGCTGCCAGCCCGTGGGGTCTGAGTGGCTGTAGAGGCGTGGGAGCGTGTGTGTTTGGGGGAGCCATGGTGGGAGCCATACTCCTCCTCAGAGGTGGACGTGCAATCTGAGCCCTGCTGCCGGCGACGTGTGCCTGGGGTGAATGAATTGGTTCCAGAAGCAAGAACAGAACAGAACGGCGCTCAGCACCCTGAGGCAGCTACATGCAGGGTCCTCAGGCAAAGGCCCAGTACTGCAGGACAGGCGGCATGGCAGCTGGCGCCCCTGCACCCAGGAGCCCTTCAGCTGAAACGCCAGCAGCTGCTGAGCTCTGGGGACCGCAAGGCCACCACCAGCCTAGACGCACATGCAGGGACGGGCAGCCTGGCGTTTCCACAGCCCCTTGAAGAGCAGCCCAGAGTTGTGGCTGGTGGGCCAGTGGTTTGGCGCCATGTCCATTAGACAGGAACCAGCACCCTTGGTGGCAGGGAAGTGGTGCCCTTAGACACCCCAAGTGGGAGTAAACCCCTCCAACCCATGTGGATTGGCCCTGGCTCTGGACCGGCCTGTACAGGGTGGTCTAGCACAGCCTGTGGTCAGAGCCCGAGCTTGGCCTTCGCAACCCCCTCCCTGTGGCTGCCTGGCCTTCTCAGACCTGACCCCTGCTCTGAGCCCCCACAGCGGCTGCAAATGAGGAGCAGGGAGTGGCGTTCCTGCCAAGCAAGCGCAATCCTCAGCCCATAGCCATCCTACCCCACTCTGCCCCTTCCTCCAGTGGACGCCGTCCCTCAGGGCTGCTCACCCCCCAGCAAACCCAGTGGGAGGGGACTGGCCCTGCAGGGGCGTCAGGCAGCAGCAGCAGCAGCATCAAGGAGCCAGGCCAAGTTCACCCAGAGGACGGGTCGGTTCCCTAGCAGGGTGAGCCCACTGAGTGAACGTGGACATCCACCACCCTAGGAGGACACCAGCTCTGGCGGCCACAGCTCCCCTTCGCTGTGCGCACGGACCGCAGTCTGCACGGGACTGCTGTTCATGGGGGATGGGGGACGCTGACAGCCCTCTCCTGGCCATGGATCTGGGCTCACAGGGTGCCCCTAACAGAGATGCATGACCACAGCAGCCCGGGGTGGGGCTCCCTCCCCAGGCCCACTGCCTCACAGTGGACGGCTCGGGCCTCCACATGTGCCTCACAAGCCATCAGGCTCCCAGCCTGAAGGCTGAAACTCCAGGGAAGAGCAGGCAGGCCCAGCCGGAAGATGGGGCCAGCCCCTCCATACTGGACACAGTGAGGGCCCTTGCCTAGGACAGCCTAGAGGCGTGCTGCTGCCACGCACACACACACTCGGTGTCCTTGTGTGTGTCTGTGGCAACATGCCTGCTCTTGGGAACAGGGGCTCCTCTAGGGACAGGACTGGGAGCCCCACAGCCTGACACCAGGCTGACACACAGGAAGCTGCAGACCCCCTGCCCGGGGTGACTGGGCCCAGGGCTGCCCGCCCGCCCCCAGCACTCACTGGGTGAGGAGTATCGGGCACTGCCCGGGCGGGCCCTGCTGAAGGGCTGGCGGGGGGCCGTGGTGGTGGTGGCGGCCTTCCTGGCGGCAGCCCGAGCCTCGGCCACGGTGGGCTTGCGGCCAGTGCAGTACAACTCGACGCTGCGGCCGGAGAAGCCGGTGCGGGTGGGGCCCGCCTCTGAGTCGCTGGGCCCCGTGAAGGAGCCGGCCCGCTTCCGGGGCATGGCCAGGATGTCCAGGCGCGACAGCTTCTTGCCCTGCTCGGGGGCTGGCCGCCCCGCTGGCTCGGGGTTGGCCGGGGGCCCCCGTTCGCCATCCGGGGCCTCTGTGTCCGAGGCGTCCCCCAGCCGGGCCCGCCTCAGCCGGGAGGCCCGCGTGGGCCGAGGGGTGGACAGGCTGTTGGAGCGGGTCAGCGCCTGCTGTACTTTCTGGGCGCCAGCTGAGCTGCGGCTCTGTTCTTCCTGGGCAGCCGGGGACGGCGGTGGCGCGGTAGGTTTTCGGCGAGGTGCTGGCCGACCTGCCCCGGTAGCCGCAGGGGTCTCGTGGTCGGAGGTGACCATGTCTGAGCTGGGTGGGTGGGCAAGGCTGGAGCCTCGTTCCTCGTCGGGCCAGTCCAGGGACCCCCGGGGCCCGTAGCCACGCCGCACGGCCAGGCGCCGAGCTGGCTCCCCGCGGCCCATGTCCATGGGGCCTGGCAGGCAACGCTGCTTCTCCGAGAGCCGCTCCCGGGCGCTGCTCAGGGCGGCACTCCCCGGCTCCTGTGCTGCTGGTGGGGATGGCAGCTTCTCCTTCTGCAGCCCTGTGGGCTGGGGGCTGGTCGGGCTGGGCCCATTCTTGCCACTGAGCAGGCTGATGGTGCTTGCCGTGTCCAAGTCGGAGTCTCCGGACAGGGAGTCCTCCGGCGGCCCAGGGGCACTGACCCCCTCACCCTCCACCTCCTCTGTGGACTTGGAGAGCAGGTGGGCCTCCAGGGCCGCCAGGGCCGTCTCAGTCTCCTTCAAGATCAGGTGGGTGTCCTGGGAGTGGAGGTCCATTCGCGAGGCCCGGGCTGAGGCCAGGTCCTGCAGGAGGGGGTGGCTAGAGATGTGCGGGAGCTGGCCAGGGGCTGGGGGGCCGCTGGCTGGCTCCTTGGTGAAGCTCTCCTGCCGGACAAAGGCCAGAGCCTCCTTGGGCGGGGCCGGAGTGGGGCCCTCAGGCTCTGGGGACCACCCTGGCCGCAGCTGGACGACCATTCTCCCGCTGGAGCTGATGTAGACACCGTCCCTCGCCGGGAGGCTGGGCTGGGCTGCCTGCCCTGGGCCCTCCACCTCCCCTGGAGCCATAGATGGTTTCCGGGGGAAAGTGGCCTCCCCGTTTTGGTCCCCGATGAAGAAAGAGGTGGGGGCCAGCTCCCCGGGGGCCCTTGGTGAGCGCCGGCCCCTCGTCCATGCCAGACCCTCCTGGGGGCTCCTGTGTCTCTCCTCCTGTGAGCTCCCACCCGGCTCAGGGCCCCGGCCCCCGTCTGACCCACTGGCATCACTGAGGCTGTCGGGTTCCAGGTCCTCCTGGCCCAAGAGGTGGCTGGCCTGCTCACTGCCCGGCTCCAGTGGCCCAGGCCCACTCCTCCTGGCAGCCTCGGGGCCGGCTGGGCTGTCTGCCCTGTCACTGGGCAGCTGTGGCAGGAGTCGCCGCTGGCGCACAGGAAGGGCCCCCTCAAACTCCCCAGCTCTGCGCCCAGGGCCGTCCTCTGTGAAGACAAGGGCAGCCTGGTAAGAGTGGCCGCTGGCCTGCAGGCCCTCCATGCACATGACCCTCCTCCAGGCCTGGCTGGCACGTGCTCACACCCGCGTCCCCAGTCCAGTGGCCTGAGGCCACCCTGGCCACCCCGCTCCAGCACTGGAGCCACTTACCTGCCAGGCCCGGGTCCGAGTAGCTGTCGGCCAGGCTGGCCCAGCGGGACACCCACTTCTGACCCCCGGGGGAGCCCGGCACTGGGAGCCCCTGCAGAGAGAAGAGCAGGAAGGTGTCTGTGGCACAGCCCCTTCGGGAAGTGCAGGGGGAGGAGGGGGCGTCAAAGGCAGCCCACCCTCACATCCGGACCCACACCTGCCACATGCTCCCCCTGCAGAAACAGCCAGGAGGCCCCCTGTCGCCTCGCCTGGGCTTGTGGGACCCCAGCTGAGCCTGGTTCGGTGGCTCGGAGGTCAGCAGCTGTGGTTCTGCCTGGCCCCTCGGACTTAGCACACACCCAGGCCCCCATCCTGACACGGGGCATGGCAGGTGGGTGTGCCCCTTAGGAAAAGGTCCAGCCCAGCCTCATCCAGAGTCCACCTCCAGGGTTCTCCAGGCAGAACCAGAGCCTTCCAGTGTACACAGGACCCAATGACTGGGGCCCCAGCCCCGACGCTGTCCGCTCCCTGCCCGAGCCCTCCTCAGGGCAGTCTCTGGGCTCAGTCTCGCCCACCTGGAGCTCCCCGTGGGGGGCCGTGCCCACTGGCCGGGAGGCAAACTCCTGTAGCAGTGCCATCCGCTGGGCCACTCCATCACCAGACTCGTCTCTGTCCCCTCTGATGACTGGACGGAAGGTGGCAGAGGATACCCTGGAGAGTTCAGGGGACTCGAGTACCCCGAAGACCTGCCGGGAGGGACAGCCAGGCACCACAGGTCAGAGCGCCCAGACACCACCCCCCACTCAGACATAGGCCCCATCTCCAGACACCAGAAGAGCAGGGGGCCTGGCTGGCCAGACTGGCCAGTGGCTGAGACACACAGCCCGGCTGTCCAGCTCACGTGTTAGGTAGGAAAACAGCCCCAGCCCTGGGAAAGCAAGCCGGGCTCCCAGGCAGACCCCACCGACATGGGCACCTGGTCGATCATCTTGCGGGCCTCCTCCACCTCCTGGTCCTGCGTCTCTGTCTCGATGGTGTAGGTCCCTGCGTCACTGAGGCTGTCATCCTCCTCCTGTTTGCGAGCTTTGCTCAGCTGGGGGTCGGCGGGGGGTGGTGGCAGAGTTGAGGGGACCACAGGGCTGGCCCCACGGGGTGTCAAGGGGGCGGGCAGTGCAGGGGGCACCTTCTCGGGGGCAGGCCGGGTGGCTGGGGAGCCCTCCCGCAGGCACTGGGCCATGAAGTCCTGGGCCAGCCGGGAGCGGCGCCCCACGCTGCCGAAGGGACGGACAGGGGCCCGGGCGGCGGGCGAGGGGCTGCCCAGCCGCTCCTCCGTCTTCTCCCGCTTCAGCGAGCTGGCCCGCTGTGGCCCCGAGCTGCTGCCCGCCGCCCGGGCCGGGACCGGTGCACCCGGGCGGTCCCTGTCGGCTGGCCCGGGGCCTCGGCGCTTGTCGGCCTTGGGGTCCCCAGGTGGGGTGTGCGTGAAGGACTGGGAGCGCTTCTTGCGGGGCGTGTCCTCGTCGAAGAACTCGATGACGAAGGCCTGCTGGTTGTGCAGCAGCTCCTGGGGCTCCCGCTTGATCTGCCTCTGCAGCCGCACCTGCTCCCCGCTGCTCTCCCCGGCTGCCTTGGCCATGGGGTCCTCCGAGTCACTCTGCGTGCCGTCCTCGTGCTTGTGGCCTGGGGGCGGGGGGACCCCAACTCGTGAGGCCGAGGGAAAGGAAACAGCAATCCTGGGGGGCCTCCTCACCCCGCCCCCGAGGGGGTCGGCACACACAACCACAGCTGTCACATGCGGTTGGGGACGCAGCACACAAGGCCGAGACGAGCAACGGGCACAGCCGAACTGCCCCACTTGCGCACGCGGTTCTCGGGCAATTGATTAAAAGATAGAAATCGCTCAAGCTGATTAGGGCCCCCCCGGCGAGGCAAGCGGGCAGACCCGGGCTGACGTGTGGTCACTGCCGCCTGGTGGGCCAGTGGCCCGGGCACTCACCCTTCAGGGTGCGGGTGTGGACGGGCAGGTCACTCTTGGTGCTGTGGCGGTCGTCTCCGGGGCCGGCCCGGCGCAGCAGGCTGGGGTCGTTTTGCACCAGCCAGTCAGCCACCTTGGTCTCTGCAGACACCACCTCGACAGGCGTGGCCTCCTTGCTGGGGGGCCGCCGCTGGCGCAGGGAGAACTTGGTGATGTGGTCCTTGATCTTCACCTTGCCCGGGCTGCAGTCGTCAAACTCGATGGTGAAAGACGCATGGCTCTGCACCACGGGGGCCGCCCCGCCCCCGCCCGGCTCCACGTCCTTCGTGGGCACCTCGTGTGCCGGCACCTCGGGGGTCCTCGGTGGCTGCGGGGCCTCCTTCGTGGGGATCTCGAAGTAGCTGGGCTCCCGCCGGAACGAGTAACCCTGAGGCTCCGTGGCAGCCCGGAAGCCGGCTAACGCCCCGGGGAGCTCCCCGTCCTGCTGTGCCAGCTCCTTGGGCCGCTCTGGGATGGGTGACATGCTCAGGCCGCTGCAGGCCAGCACCCTCACCCCACCCACCCCTGCCGGGACCATGGGCCCCGTCTCCCCCAGAGCCAGCACTGCCAGGCCACCCTCGGGGACTTCGGGGGTCTCGCGGGCTGGCCTCTGGGACCTACCGGGGTAAGGCTCCTCCTGGCGCCGGTCCTCAGGCGAGGTGCCACCATCATCCTCGCCCCACCAGGAGGGCTGCCCGTACAGGGGTGTGCGGTAGGCCGCCGATTCTGCAGAGGGAGAGAGAGTTCAACTCTGGGTGGCCGTGGCCCTAACACAGACAGGAGGGGAGACCTGGAGCTGGAGGGGATGCTGGGCTCTGGAGGAGGCCAGCTGCAACTTACAGCTACCCAGGGCCCTGGTCAGCCACCAACCACTCTGAGCCCCATTTTTGCATCGATATGGGGCATACAACTGCAGTGAGTCCCGTGGACACTCGCCTCCCCCGTCCCCGCCTGGGCCTCCCCGCAGGTTGCCTGTTCCTGGGGTGGCACTGTCCTCAGCGCCCCCAACCTGGGGCAGGCAATCCCTTCAGCCCTGTCCTTACCCCCAGAGCCTGCCCAACGGAGGGGCAGGAGGCCAGTGGTGAGCCCACACCCAGGGCTGGCCCCTCTCCAAGGCTCTGTAAATGGTTCAGGCCACACATGGGTGTCCCTGGGGCTGAGTACCATCACAGTCTGACTAGACCACACAGAGTGCAGGGGTATGGGTGTGCATGGCTGGGTGTGTCTACAGGGGTGCACAGGTGAGTGTGTCCACAGGGGTGTGGAGGTACAGGCGTGCACGGGTCCCTGAGCTCACACACGAGCAGGTTTGTGCTCAGGCTGCTGTGGGGGGTGTGAGCCCAGGAGACCCTGAGAAGTGGGGAGAGGGGTAGGGAGCAGGCCTGCATGCACACTCCCTGCCCGCTCCCTCCCAGCCCACCTGGAATGCTGTCCTACCTGGTCCTGGTCTCCGGTCGCCCCTCTCCGGCCTGGGGGTAGAGGACTCGCAGTACGGCGTGTGCTCCAGCAGCGCCTCGCCCCTCTTGGGCGCTGGGCCCTTGACGCTCACCTGCAGCTGGCTGGTGTACTTCTCGTGCTGCGGGCATGGAGTGGGGGTGAGGGACAGGTGACCACCTCTCCTCTCCATCCAGAGTGGGCCCAGCGCTGGCCCCTCAGGACACCCACAGAGCAGACAGGCGGACACCTGCCCAGGTCAGCAGCTCAAAGCTAGGGGTCTACGCCCAAGCCTGGGGGATCCTCAGGACCACGAAGCCTCCAGGAGGGAGCTGGGGCTTGTTTGGGGGCAGAGGGAGTGGGCAGCAATCATCAGAGGGAAGACTGCCATCCCAGGCCCCCAGAGAGAGGGGGTCAGCGGCTCAGGGGCTGGGGGGTGGGGAGCAGCAGCCTGTCTGAGCAGAGTGCCCCTATGTGTGTGTGTGCATTCATGCATGTATGTGTGTGTGCACATGTGGGTACGTGTGTATGTATGTGTGCATGTGTGCCGGGCACAGCAACAGCTGTGGGCCCTAGCTGGCCGAGCGCTGCAGTCATCAGAGTCGGGCTCACACTGGCCCTGCCCCTGACCGGCCGTGTGACTCTGGGCAGGCCACCCACACTCCCTGTGCTGCCAGAGGTTCATTTGTAAAATGGGGCTAAGGCCAGTCCATCTGACATGGGGCTCCTGGGTAAAGCTCTAGGCAGGGTCCCCCAAATCTGTGCTCCATGACACCCCCAAATGAGCAAGGGAAGATACCCCACCCAGGACCCAAGGGGGAAGAGTACGCAGGGGCGTCCATCACTGAGGACCTCCCACGAGCCTGTCCCCAAAGGCTGCCCCCACCAGCCTCCAGACACCACCTCCTGCCTGCTCCTGGCCATCCCATCCAGGTGGCCTGACCGGGGTCTTCCCCAGTACCCAAGACACGGGGTGGGCCCTCTCGGCCACCCCACCCTGCTGGGTACAGCAGCCTCTGCTGGGGCTGCAGCCATGCCCACCATGCCTGGGTGTATCCTCCTGGGGGGTGGGAATGACTATCTTCCCCACCTGCCAGACCGGGCCGTCCGGCAGAGCAGGCTGGGCCAGGCCGACTCACGGCACTGCAGCCACAGCCTGGCTAGGGCAGCCAAGAGGCCCGGAGTGTGGGCCAGGGCGGGATGGCATGGGCCCGTGGGAAGTGGAGGGCTGCGGGCATGCAGGGCCCCGGGGCCAGGGGCCAGCACTGACCCTGAGCGCCTCCTCGGGGACGCGGTGCTGCACGCGTTCCAGCACGTACATGTTGGAATGTGGCAGCGCGTTAAGGAGAACAGGGAGCAGGGAGAGCCGGGCGGGGCCTCAGGCCTCGCAGTGCAGGCATCCTTGGCCAAGGAGATGAAAGGACCACTCCCAGGGAGGCGGATCAAGGGGGAACGGGGGAAGGGGCTGTGCTGCCCCCCAGTGTGGACACCTGCAAGCACAACCCTCCACACCCACGCCACCACCTGCCCCCTGCAGGCCCTGGGTCTCTGAGCACCAGGCAAGTGTCCAGACTGCAGGAGTGGCCTGCAGGTCATGCTGCCCCCACTCAGAGCAGCAGGACAGAGGCCACTCCAGGTCACAGCGTGCACATGCGCTCAGGCCACCAGCACGCCCTCCACCCCCCTACTCATGGCCCAAAACACGGCAGGCAATGTGCCCAGGAGCCAGGTGGGGCCCCAGAGGCCATGCTACACATCCAGCTCTCGGTTCCCACCCCAGACCACCCCTCAGCCCCTGGCCTCCCAAGGTTACAGGGGTGGGGAGGGCCCATGGGTGGGTATGCCAACGGGAGTGGTGCCGAGGTGGAGGAGGAGAGGATGCGCTCCTGCTGTGCGTATGGGCCCCTGGGCTCCAGGACGGAGCCATGGCCCCCACCCACTATCTTCTGGGCCGGGACTCTGGGTCCCAGGGAGCGGTCACTTGTTCCTTGGGCCCTGTGGGAGCTCAGGCCAGGCAGGCAGTAGGCGCCAGTGGCTGAGACCTCAGCTTAGCAGAAGGGCGGCAGGGGCTGGGGCTCAGGCTGGAGCCCAGCCCCAGGCTCACCCTCACCGCCCTCCGACCCCCGCGGGCCCAGTGGTGACTTCCAAGGCCACCATCCACTTCCAGGATAACAGCACTGTGGCTGGGGGACCGAGGGAGAGGCCGAGAAGAGGGGGAGCGGCTGGGAAAGGATATCATAGCCGAATCGGATGACGTCATTGAGCTTCAGCGTGACGTACTTCTGGTCCGGGATGCGCACGTCGTTCACGAACGTCTGGGGAGGACACGGGTGGTGGAGCTGAGCCAACAGTGGGCGGGGCACCGACTCCGGGGTCCCTGGCAACTGGACAACCCGGGCCCTCTCTCCATGCTGCTCTGGGCCCAGCACTGTCCCTCCAGCACATGTGTGCCCAGCCCTGCACCCCGAAGGGACCACAGGACAGACAGCTGCTAAAGGACTGGCCAAGGGGGACTAAGGCGCCAGGCCTCACCCAGTGCCCAGGGCCCCTGACAGAGCCCTTCAAGCAAAACCCTCGGATGTCTTTGTGAACAGACCATTTCTCTCATCCACGCGGAGCTCGTGTTGGCCCCAGTCCCCCACCCAGACCACACAATGTCCCCTGGAGCGGCCGAGGCACGCCCACAGGGTGGCCCCAGGGCAAGGAGGGTCAGGCGGTGCAAGGCTGTCTGACGACACCCCCCATGCAGGCCACCTGCTTGAAAGGGCGTGGAAGCGCCAGTCCCTGGAAACTCTCTTCCCTCCAACAAGGGCTTCTAATCAGCCGGCCATGGGCCACCATGCTGTGGTGGGATGAACGAGAGACCCTAGCACTCTGAGGGCCTCTGGGGCAGGCCAGGGTGACAGCAGGAAGACAGATGTGGCTCAGGCATGGCAACTGTGCCAGAGTCCGGTAGAAGAAACAAGAAACGTGGGGAGGGTCTGAGGGTCTGAGCAGGAGGGTGGCTCCCCAAAGAGGTGGCCCGGGCTGGGGGTCTGCCCCTGCAGAGGTGGGAGCGCAGCAAACGTGACTAGAACTGTGGAGCACACTGGGCCCAGGCGCGGGCTGGAACTGTGCAAGCTCGGTTTCGGATACGCTGTATGTAAAGTAAGAGGCCTTGGGCTCCGAGCAAGGAGCCGACGCCAGCAGGCCTGGCGTGGGGACAGCTGCGAGGCTCTGAAGACCTGCCCTGCCAGCCTGCGTCCTTGGCTGAGCTTCGTGTCACGCGGGCAGGCAGGAGTTGGCCCAGGTCTGTGGACATCACAGGCCTCTGAGAAATGCGCCCCTGCGGGATCCAGGAGCATGAATCCAGCCAGCAGCCCCAGGACCTTCTGGAAGCCCATGCGGTCTGGGCCAGTGCCTTGGTGCAGCCCATGCGGGCAGAGGGCAGGCCCGCTCCTCCTGCAGCCCCATTTGGGTAGGGCTGCTTCATCTGACAGGAGGGTGGAGGAAGGAGGGGGCTGAGGGGCAGAGCGTGAGACCCCAGCCGGGAGCACCTTGAAATGGGAGCCAGCGAGTGGTGCCCAGCACTTGCTGGAACGCTTGCAGGCGGAGGCAGGGCCAGCCTGAGGCTGCTGTGGGACTCCCGCTCAGGATTGGGGGGCAGACTGCACAGGCTGGAGGGGGCAGGAGGAAGAGCCCTTCTTTGGCACAAGGGAATGGAGGCTGGTGGTTTTGCTTTCTTAATGAAACACTGTCACAGGGTAGGCCCCTGTCCACCAAACAGAAAGAAACAGGACACCCAGACAGACATGGAGGAGCATGGAGAGAGGCGGGGCCATCATGGAGGGTGGGGCATGGAGAGGGGTGGGACCAGCACGGAGGGAAGGGCATGAGAGGGGTGGGGCCATCATGGAGGGTGGAGCATGGAGAGGGGTGGGGCCAGCACAGAGGGAGGGGCATGAGAGGGGTGGGGCCATCATGGAGGGTGGAGCATGGAGAGGGGCGGGGCCAGCACAGAGGGAGGGGCATG